TTCTTTCTTTCTTATTCAAATGTTGTACCCGCAACATTTCCTTTGATTTTTCCTGACGCGTAAGGCCACTAAACTCATTTTTCATCTCGTTTATCTTTAAAATTCCATCAATGTCGGTTAATGGTTCGATTTTTACTTGCGGAATCTGCATTTTAACGGTTCGTTCCGTTGTATTAATTACGCTCACGGGGCATAAATAATTCCTAGGTTGTACGAGACAGCTACCGATGAATACTCCTGGCTGTTTCTCTTTCGCTTCAACTAATCCTACCTGGTTGGTATCTGTTATCGCTGTTATAATGACCTCACATCTCGATGGTATCTCTACGCTTCTATGAGGGTGCAGGGTCAGCGCCTCCTGTCCTACGAGAATTTCTTTCTTCTTATAGTCGTGAGTGACGTAATATTTCTTTAAGAAATCGCTTCCTCAAATTCCTTTGTAATTTATAGGAAAATCATCCCTCACAACGTACATAGAATGCTTGATTTTCTTATTTTTCAGCTGGATAGGTGCCAAAAATTTTCCTATCACGCAGGCTTTATGACCTGTAACTCCCGTTAACTCTATGTTTGTTAATTCCGCGGGAGTTTCTTCTTTCAAGCATTTCTTTTTAATGAGTGACACTGAGGCTCCTGTGTCATATAGTAACTCTGCTATTTCAAGCTTTGCCTTTTTAATTGGCATTCTCACGATGTCTAAACTTGCTTGCGTCGTATTTATTTCGGTAATTTGAAGCTCCGCTATCGTTATAGCTTTCCTCTTCTTACTGCTTCCATCCTCATTTTCGAATGAGTCGTTGCTGTCACTTTGAATTCTGCTTTTTGCTTTGTTTTTTATGCGGTGCATCTTTCGCTTTCTTTTCTTGATACTTTTTTCTATCATTCAGGGCCCAGCAATTTTCCCTGGAATGTCCTGTTTTCTTGCAATAATTGCAATAGTTTTCAACGGGATTTATTCTGCCGCCTGCCTTTGGCAATGACACTTTGCTGACTCGGCAATCTCGACCAAAATGTCCGTGCTTTCCGCATTTAAAACACGTGTCTTTATTATACTTTCCTTTATTTTGCGGTTTCTGATTTTTTATTTGACCGCTATGAGGTGTTGTCATCTTTTCTTCCGAGCTGGCCGCATTTATGGCCTCCTGTAGAGTTCCATAGTTTCATGAGCAAATTATTACTCTAGTTTCGGTTTTTAATCCTATTTGGAATTGTTGTAACGCCTGCTCTTTGATTGTGGTCAGAATGATGCGTTTTTCTTTAACGGTGTGTCCCCTACCTTCCACCATGGCCCCATACAATTCCATGGCGATCTGATTTACACGTTGGCCGTACGTTTGTGCACTTTTGCCATTTTTTTGCCTCAACGTGTTAAAATCTATCTGCAACTGAGTAACACTTTTTTTTGCAGCGAAAGTGTTTTCACCTTCCTCTTTTAACTGTTGGAAATTGCAAATATCCTTTGTCTCGAAGTCCAATAAAGCCTGACCTCTCAATTTTGTACACAACACTGCTTGTAACAAAGCAGGTTCATCCAACGGGCTAACAACTCCCGCTGCATACTTACACGCGTTCAAAAACTCGCATATCTGTTCAGCTAATTTCCCGTCAAACGCTGGTATTAAATTCACCGCGTCTTTTAATTGTAGCTGACTCCTGTTTACTATGTGGTTTTGGATGTCATCATCCGTCCGTCCGTACGTGATATCGAGTTGCTCGCTCGGGCGTACGTGTGTGTTTCTTCGTGTGGATTGAGCACCTGTTTCACGCATTCTTTTGCGCATTCTTTCCAGCTCCCCCATTTGCCTACCTAACGCGTCTACACGTGCTTCTATTCCTCCTAATGTCCGCAAGACCTGACGTAGGACTTCCTCAGTGGCGTCATGACTCGGCCTACTTGACCCTGGACCCCTCGCGGACTCACCTCCACGAGCTCCGACTAGCTCGTGTTGCATTTGCGTTATTTCTCTGTCTACCGCGTCCTGGGCTTGCCTAACACTTTCTATGTCCAGCCCGTTCCGTGTTATCTAATCCTGACGCAAGGTTATTTCCGCCCGCCTGGAACATTTCACTTTGATTCAAAGAAGAAGGTTCGTTATTACCGTCTTCCCTCCTTATCAAATTTCCAGCTATACTCCGATCTATTTCTATTTCAAACTCTCTTTCAGTTACTACGTTTGGATGTGATTCTGAGTCACTATCACCTTTGAACCTCAACCGGCGCCTATATGTGTGTGCCTCTAATTTCGCCGGAGCAGTTCGCGGTTCCGGCGTTGGTATTAAATTTTTATTCGTTCGGTATTCACGAGCGGAGTTCCAATCGCGTTTTTCCGGGCAAACTTTCTGCCGGTTTTCTGACATTTACACAGAGTTATTACAAAATTTGTAACTTACGCTAGCGCTCTCATTTCCGCGCCTGCTGAGTGTTGTTTTGCTTTACGCAGATATCTACGTAGGTCGATAGCCCCTATGTCGCCGCCGCTGCTGTCGACGCTGCTATTGCCGCTGTATGCTGCCACCGTGCGCTACTCCTATATGCTGCCGCTTTGGTGGTTGCTTCCGCCGTCGCTCACCATGCTTCAGTTTGAGCCGAATTTTTATCTCCCTTGCCGGTCCTTTTATGCATCCGAAATGGTTCTTTCGTTAATACTTCCCCGGAGTACTTGCGGTGGACTTTGCTTGCTTTTCTTGTCTCTTTTTTTTCTGCTGCTTCTACTCCGCTTGTAACACTGCTTACTTTTTACTATTGCGGTAGGTCAGTTTCGTGTAACCCGAGATCGTGAGCGTTGAACAGTGATTCTCTATTCACTTTTCGCACCACTTGCCAGTATTACTAACTCTGTTATTTTTCTGTTTCAGGTGCTGAGAACCCGTTTTGCTTACCCAGGATTCAATATTATTTTTACTAATATTATTCCTTTCTTGTCTTATTCTTTTTAAAATATATCTCTTTGTGCACAATTTACTTTTCTTTTCTCACCCATATCCTTAATGTCCTTTTTATCTCCTCCTCAATCCAACCGAAATTTTTCTTTGACAAAATCCCGTCTCGGTAGTTGGTTTACAATCCCACCGCTGCCACCAAAATTTGTTGAGATCGAGGAAGATGAAGGACTTGGTGATGAATAAGATTCTTTTATAAAAACTGGCGTAGTTTATTACTACTAAGTTTACAATTACTGTACAATAACGCACGCTTATACTGACACTTAGCTGTTGCTTTACTGCGGTAAACTCTCCGGATGGACTCGGAGCCACACAGTATTGTCAATAGCTACTCACGATCTGTCTGTCGTTGCTCGCGATCGATCTTTTAAAGAGATCGATCGTGACAATTCAGCTATTTAGCGACCTAATTGCTACTGCTCGTAGGCCGCTGACGTTGCGTGCCGCGTCTGTATCCTACTTGATACTACGCTTAACAAGCAGATTTTATTTACAAGGAAATGCTGCTTGTTGCCTTTTTAAATAAATTTGGGTCGATTGAGCAATGACACGTACCTTCCGTAATTGCTCAATGGCCTTTACAAAATTACTCTAGATTTCACAACAGAATTTTAGACTAAACCCCGGTTGTGACCGGGGCTAAGTACTATTTGGTCGGGTACTCACGGTTTTGTTTCGTTGCCACGGTCGCCAGTTACTTTTACCACCTAGTAACAAGGTTTGTATCTTTTCCAGGCACGCTGTTCCACGGCTGGGCGCAAGGAACTTCTACTGGATGAGGATCGACAGGCAGTAACACTCAAAAAATGCACACAGTTTTTTAGGTAAATATAAACAATATATATGCATTTTTCAATACTGTGTGTTTCGTACACTTGACTATATATATATTTGTTACAATAAATTTATTTAAATCGTATCTGAGTCAACATAATCTTTGTTTTTGCCGTACTCTGTCTCGCACGCCCGCTTGGTACGACGATTCCATTAAGATTGACGCCATGGGCGTCGCGCGCTTTCTTCTCCGAGCGGGAACTTCCTCCGCCGCCGCGAAGTAGTCCCCTTCTATTAACGGTAACTTCGCAGGGTCTTAGTATTAAGGAAGGATTTTTTGTGTGTGTGCTGCTTGTTTGTATAGTAAGTGTTTGGTGCAGAAATAAGATTTTAATACAAATGTTATGTGTGTGTAGTATGGAGTGAATTTACCACTTAAGAGTGTTTGTGTGTATGGATGTGTTGAGAACGCTCGCAACTCCATCACGCGTGATGGAGTAAAATTCAAAAACAGGCGCGGCGCACAATTGATTTCGGCGCAGGTGATCACGCGCGAATCAACGGCGCGCTTGAGAAATCAAAGCTGCGCAAGAAAAGAGGCCAACTGCGAGGAGCCCCGCAGCACACGAAGGCCAATCGGAAACACGCACGTGCGTGCATTCACGAGCACACGATGCAATTCGCGGAAAAGCACTGCCCCTTCTGAAAAGCTTCAAAAAAAGGCAAAGTCATTGCGACAGGTAGAATTTTTTTGGAACTTAAGAATCTTCTAGAAGGGACAGCTTATATATAAGTCAGCACGGCTTCACAAGGGTTCGTCCGTCGCTAGTTCCCGAAGAAGTCGTGGTATTTTTGCACTTGCAATTTTCAGTCCTTAGTTGCAGTTGCTCGTTGCTATCATTCATTCGCTTTTAGCTAAGTGATATCTCCACGCGTTACATTCCGCTTCATTGTCACGCGCCGTGATTGCAACGCGGGGAGAGCCAATAGCGAAGAAACCGTCCTTTGCATTTCCAATGCCGTTGCTTGCGGCAGTTCGAAATCTGTAAAGGTTTATGTGTAAATAGTGTAAATATAGTGACGAATAATAATTTCCGCTGTGCTCATCTCAGTTCCTTTTCCCTTTTTTTGACTTTGAGTTTAGTGTGTGTCCTTCCTCGCGAAGGTGTCAATATTGTTGGTCCTTCGAGCCGGATTCCGGTAGCGGAGTCAGTGACGTGCTGTGGAAGCAGTTCTCTGATCGTGAAGTTCTCTTGAAATAAGTGTCGTTACTTGCAAAAAAAATGGACAATCTTATTCAAGCTCAGAACGAAATACTTCAGCGTCTGGGGCGCACGGTTGAGAACTTAAAAAAAGGAACCGACAAGATCACACTTGGTCTTGTCCAATCTGCAGTCGGATCCTTGAATAAGAGATGGGCTCGGTTAGAAGAACAACATTCGACTTTGTGACTCGAACATGGCAGTGATTTGAAGAAAACAGAATATCATGCGAAAGACTTCATGTCAATGGCCGAGGAAACTTACTTGTCGCAGCGAGGTAGACTCGTCGATTTTGAGCGCTCTTTCTTAGGTAAGTCTCCGGAAGCAAAGCCGATCACGGAAGGTCAGCCAGCAACACTCCGTGGGACTGAGCTGCCGAAAATTAAACTGCCAGAATTTTCGGGAAAATATGAAGAGTGGCCAGTCTTCCGCGATCATTTTCTTTCCACCATCGGCAACGACGGGCAGCTTCCTACCGTGGAAAAATTACATTACTTGAGATCGTGCGTTCGAGGCAAAGCAGCCACTTTAATTCAAAACTTACCGGCCACGGAGGCGAGCTACAGCAAGGCGTGGAGTGAGTTGACCGAGTTCCATGAAAACACTCAGTTGCTTGTTCGCTCTTACTTAAACAAGTTTTTGTCACTACCAAAAATGAAAAATGAAAGCGCAGCCGAAGTGAAGGGGATTTTTCACAAATCTATCAACACTTACGATGCAATGGAAAACCTCGGGCGACCTGTGGCAAAAACCGAGGATTTGTTTGTTCACGTCATCGTGGATCTGCTGGGCCCACGTACGCGTGTGTTGTGGGATGACCATGTCAGCGAAAGCTCGGAACCTCCTTTGTTTGAGAAGCTGAAGGCCTTCCTGAGCGTCTCCAGACGCTCGAAGGGCGATCGGCAGCAAAAGGAGGTCAAGTCGGAAGCTGCCAGTAAATCTTCAACGTTGGGCAAAGCGAAGAGCCACGTCGTGCAAAAGAAGGAAGCCACAAAGAAAGGCGCAAAAAACGAGCGGTGCTCCTTCTGTCATCAAGATCACTTTCTCATGTATTACGAGAAATACAAGGAGAAAGCAGCGTCTGAAAGAAAAGGGCACGTGACTGAAAATAAGCTTTGCATCAACTGCCTGGGCAAGCACCAAGCAAGTGAGTGTGCTTCAAAAAAATCGTGCACAGTTTGTGGTGAGCGCCATCACAATGCTGCACGACGCGTTTCGCGATGCAACAAAGGAAAATGTCAACGCTACGACCTCTCACGTGACTCAAAATCGCGTCGAAAAGCAGGTTACAATCTTGCTGGCAACGGCTCGCGTACGCGTTGCGGATCGCTTTGGAACTGTGCACGACGCTCGAGCGCTAATCGACCAAGGATCCGAGACGTCCTTCGTATCAGAAGCGCTCGCACAAAAACTAAGGTTGCCGCGGAAGCAAGCGGCTGTGACAGTGATTGGTGTTGGCGGCAATAAAACAGGTGTCACAAGGGGTCGCATGGTGGTGAAGCTTATGCCACACTTCAGCAAATCAGCGCTTACCGTCACAGCATTGGTGCTCCCACGGTTGACCGCTTACGCAGGGGGCTCAAATATCACAGCTCAGCCATGGGCCCACCTGAAGAACCTAGTACTCGCAGATCCTGAATTTCTCTCCGCTGATCCGATCGACATTTTGCTCGGAGCGGACGTGTACGCTTCCATCTTGACAGCAGGAGTGCAGAAAGGAAAGCCGCAAGAGCCTGTAGCGCAGAAAACATCATTAGGTTGGATACTGTCAGGATGCATAGCAGCAGGCAAAGATAGAGAACAAGGGAAAACAGTAGCCTACCAATACGTTACAACCGAGTCATTAAATGAACTGGTCAGACAATTCTAGGAGCAGGAGGAAGTGCCAGCGAAAGCTTCAGCGTTGACTCGAGAAGAGCATCAGTGCGAGGACGTGTTTGTGGCAACGCACTCGCAAACTGAGGAAGGCAGGTACGTGGTTAGATTTCCATTGAGAGGAACACCGAGCGACCTGTTGCCAACACGATTCGCAGCGGAGCGATCCTTGATTCAAATGAAGCGCAGATTCTCCTGCAACAGCAACCTGCAGCAGTTGTATGTAGACTTTATGCAACAATACGTAGAATTGCAACATATGTCACCCGCAGAGCCACCTGCAAGCAATCGGAAGATGAGAACGTACTACCTACCTCACCATGGAGTACTACGAGAAGCAAGCATCACGACAAAGCTTCGTGTCGTGTTCAACGGCTCGTGGGCGCTCTCTTCAGGGGAGTCTTTGAACAAATGCCTGCTAATCGGAAAAAATCTTCTGTCTCCGTTGATTGACATTTTGATGCAATGGCGCACTCAACGATTTGTTCTGGCGTCGGACATTGAAAAAATGTATTGTCAGATTCTCGTGCACCCCGAGGATAGAAATTTACAGAGAATTCTTTGGAGATTCAATGCGAACGAGGAAGTCAAGGAATACCAGCTTAATACTGTTACGTACGGGTTAGCCTATGCCCCTTTCTTGGCCATCCGAACGCTGCATCAGCTGGCAGACGACGAAACACACCGCTATCTTTTGAGAGCAGCAGCTCTCCGAAGCAACGTTTACGTCGATGACATATTGACGGGTGCCGACACTCTGCAGGACGCACGGGACCTTCGAGACCAACTGATCTTGTTGTGCAGAGCGGGCGGTTTCCTACTCAAGAAATGGGTCGCAAACCATCCCGAGTTGCTGGACGAGGTCCCAGAGGAAGACCGGATGCCGTCAAATCCGCGCGAATGGTAACCACTAGAGTGTCACACGATGCTCGGCCTTTGCTGGCATCCGAGCACTGACTGCTTCTCATTCGCCGTGGAGCGTGGTGAGCCACGACTAATTACCAAGAGAACTATCCTTTCCAGAACTGCGCAGCTGTTAGATCCGCTGGGATGGTTTACCCCGGTGGTAATACAAGCCAAGATACTCATTCAGTCTGCGTGGTTAAAGGGGCTGGATTGGGACACCCCGATATCGTCTGATGATTGCGAATCGTGGCGACGGCTGGAGGTAGAGCTACAAACCCTGGAGCGCATCCGAGTTCCTCGCTGGATGATGGGAAGCAAGGACAACCAGGCATTAGAACTACACGGGTTCGCGGACGCGTCGGAGCGCGCCTACGCTGCCGTGGTTTATCTACGATCAGAAGGGGGTGACGGTAAGGCAGTCATCTCATTGGTGGCAGCGAAATCTAAGATGGCTCCGTTGAAGCAAGTTTCTTTACCTCGGCTTGAGCTCTGCGCGGCTGCACTTCTGACACAACTTGTCGCGTACATTCAGCGTGCCTTAGGTTTGCAGGTCGTCAAGGTGCACGCCTGGTCGGACTCTTCTGTGGCTCTGAACTGGATTCAAGGCCATCCTTCCAGATGGAGGACGTACGTCGCCAACCGAAATTTAGCGAGCGATGCCTGAAGCACAATGGCGGCACATTAAGAACCAGGATAATCCAGCGGATTGAGCATCACGGGGAGTGAGCCCGAAGGATCTAGTGGAGCATAATCTGTGGTGGCACGGCCCTCCCTGGCTGGCAGCGAACAAGGAAGCATGGCCAAGATCCACGGTGTCACTGCAGCCAGCGGAGCTCCCGGAACAGCGGAGGACAACAGCTTCCATGGCTAAAACGGAAGAGTCCGAGCCAGAAATGTTGCTGCAGTACTCGTCATTCACGAAGTTATTGCGCATCACCGCATGGTGTTTGCGCTGGTTGAAAAAACGGCCGTCGCTTCCAGAGAGTGCACATCTTCAGGGTCAGCAAAAAGCCCTTACCTCGCTAACCGCTGGTGATTTGGAAACCGCTAAGCGAATCTGGATCAAAAAGGTACAGGCAAGAAGCTACGAGACAGAAATAGCCGCTGTGCGTAAGGAAGAGCCCTTGCACAAAGGAAGCTCACTCACTAGGTTAAGCCTTTTCCTAGACGAATAAGGATTACTTCGAGTTGGAGGGAGATTAAAGCACTCTCTCTTGTTATTTGACAAGAAGGATCCTGCCATCCTCCCAGCAGAGTCGCACCTCACCAGGCTCATTATAGACTCCTGCCATCGGAAAACGCTTCATGGTGGTGTGCAGCAAACCTTAGGATTGCTTTGACAGCAATTCTGGGTTCCACAAGGTCGAGTAGCTGTGAAAGGGCATATCCATCAATGTGTTACCTGCGTGCGATGACGGGCGGTGACTCAACAGCAAATCATGGCGAACCTGCCTAGACAGCGAGTCATCCCAGCAAGACCATTCCAGCATACGGGAGTGGATTATGCAGGGACGATTATGTTGCGAACCCCTCCAGGACGGGGTCACAAGGCCTACAAGGGATTCATAGCAGTGTTTGTCTGCATGAGTACGAAGGCCGTCCATCTCGAAGTGGCGTCCGACTACTCAGCAGATTCCTTTTTGGCCGCTTTCCGCTGATTCACCTCACGCAGGGGGTTGTGCCAGTCACTATACAGTGACTGCGGAACCAATTTCGTTGGCGCCGACTCGAAATTGAGATCTTTTTTTTCTGCAGGTAGCAAGGGAGCGAAGAACATCGCCAATCAGCTAGCCAGCGATCAAGTACAGTGGCATTTCAAACTACCCTCAGCTCCTCATTTCGGCGGACTGTGGGAAGCGGCTGTTAAATCAATGAAACACCACGTCCGACGAGTGCTCGGCGATGCGACGTTAACCTATGAGAAGATGACAACTTTGTTAACGCAAGTGGAAGCTTGTTTAAACTCTCGGCCACTGTAAGCACTTACCGACGACCCAACCGACGTTGCTGCCTTAACGCCTGGTCACTTTCTTGTAGGCATTTCACTTAACGCGGTCCTAGAAAAGTCACTGCTGGAGACATCCAGCAGGCACACTCTCACGTTGGCGACTTATACAGCAAATGCGTGACCATTTTTGGGACCGATGGTCACACAAATACCTTCAAGGACTCGTTCCGCGGCCAAAGTGGCAACGGAGCGAGAAAAATGTCAAATCAGGAGATCTTTGCTTCGTCTTAACTGAGACCACTTTACCAACAAAATGGCCACTAGCGCGAATTAGTCGGGTACATCTGGGAGACGACGGACGAGTGCGCGTAGTAACTGTAAAAACGGCCGAGCTAGTAAGACCAATCACAAAAATTATTCTCTTGCCCGGAATGTCTGCAGACTCCGACTAGTCTCAGGCGTAAAAATAAAACTCGCAATAAATGGAATTTGTTTAAGAGGAAGCTCAAATCGCTATCTTAGCGTAAACAGAGATATACTCCCCAACGAGGCATCGTAATCGCGTGACGAGATCAAGGTCGCGCGCATTCCGAGCGAACTCATTCACCACAGTTACACGCCAAAAAACCTCCATTGAAGTTTGTGCGGCAGCATCCACTACATCGTCGGTCAAATCACAATTGCACTTGTGATGAGCTTTACACTACCGGCGGATTGTAAAAAAAAAAAAAAATTGTATGAGGAATTATAGCAAAATAATTGCGTAGTAGCTAGGAACGTGATGCTCGATGCAACGCCATACAATAAATCGCAACCGGTGCAAATACCGCTAGTAAACAAGATGAGGAGCGCCTCACACGCTGTTAGCACAAACTATCAATCAACCACCAAGGTTAACCACCAATAATCGGCAGGTAACCGGCCAAGGCGGGCGGGATGTTGCGAACGCTCGCAACTCTATCACGCGTGACGGAGTAAAATTTAAAAACAGGCGCGGCGCACAATTGATTTCGGTGCAGGCGATCACGCGCGAATCAGCGGCGCGCTCGGGGAATCAAAGCTGCGCAGGAAAAGAGGCCACCTGCAAGGCGCCCCGCAGCACGCGAAGGCCAATCGGAAACACGCACGTGTGTGCATTCACGCACACGATGCAATTCGCGGAAAAGCACTGCTCCTTCTGAGAAGCTTCAAAAAAAGGCAAAGTCATTGCGACAGTTAGAATTTTTTTTGGAACTTAAGAATCTTCTAGAAGGGACAGCTTACATATAAGTCAGCACGGCTTCACAAGGGTTCGTCCGTCGCTAGTTCCCGAAGAAGTCGTGGTATTTTTGCACTTGCAATTTTCAGTCCTTAGTTGCAGTTGCTCGCTGCTATCATTCATTAGCTTCTAGCAAAGTGATATCTCCACGCGTTACATTCCGCTTTATTGTTACGCGCCGTGATTGCAACGCGGGGAGAGCCAATAGCAAAGAAGCCGTCCTTCGCATTTCCAATGCCGTTGCTTGCGGCAGTTCGAAATCTGTAAAGGTTTATGTGTAAATAGTGTAAATATAGTGACGAATAATAATTTCCGCTGTGCTCATCTCAGTTCCTTTTCCCTTTTTTTGACTTTGAGTTTAGTGTGTGTCCTTCCTCGCGGAGGTGTCAATAGGATGATATGTGTGTGTGTGTGGTGTGTGATTGCTGTGGATTTTTTCTCTTAAGGAACATGTTGAGTTTCATATGTGTGTCTATAAAAGTGTGACTTAACGTGTGTGTATGTGTGTGTGAACATTATGGGTGTTGTCGGTGTGTATGGTGTATGTATGGATCCTTATTAAGTATGTTAGTGTTTATGTGTGTTTGTATACGTGTAACATGTATGTGTTTCTTAACCCATTCAAGACCGATTGCACACCGTGTGTGCAATTGATTTCCAAGCCTATAAGATCGGTTGCACACCGTGTGTGCAATAATAATAATGAGCATTTATCAGTTATTGTGAGTAAAGTAGTCGTCGAGATAAGACTTTTTTGGAATTAATAGTACCTGTAAAGTATAGAAAAACACAATTTTGGCATTAGTTTTGTATTTTTATTTTACCTTACATTGCACACATGGTGTTCAATCCGCTCCTCGCAATAAAAATTTTTTGAGGAGCGAGCTGCACACACGGTGTGCAATCATCTTCTTTATGCGAATTCACTTACAAATTGGGTGATTTCCATAGTAAACAAGTTTTTTTTATTAAAAATGAACAATATAAAAAAAAATGTTGCTCCTGGGGACCGTGTTCAAAAAAAATCTCCGTCTCAAATGGGTTAAGGGTGTTCGTTTGTATGTTTGGGGAGTACTTGTGTGTGTGAATGCTGTATGGTAGTTTTTAACCCTTAAGTGTTATGTTTTTGTGTACGTGTAGTGTAAAGTCAAAATGCTCCTTAATGGACGATATGTAGTGTGTGTTGTCTATGTAGGTGTGTGTGAAATAACGTGTGAGTCCACCCTTAATGAGTGTTTTTGTTTTACATGTACTGGTACTGGATGACTGTGTTAAGAGTGTTTACTGTGTGTATAAAAGAGGGTATGTGTTTGTGTGTTGTATGGCGTATGTTTTGTCTCTTAAAAACGTGTGTTAAAAATGTGTCCATCCTCCTTCTAAACATAAAATAACTCATTAATATAAAACTTTCTCTTTTACAGGTTGACGTAACCTTGCGCAGTACGACTGTGTTTGCGGAATCGTTTAAGGTAAATATCTTATTTGTAGGACGTAACACTAAGCAAAAAATATCTTAAGACAGGTAAACAGATAACATAAATGAGTAAACTATACTAAGAAAAGATAAGTAAACGTTAAAAACTTAACTATCACGTTACTATACCAAAACGCTGCTTAACATTGCGTAGGTACTTAATATACTTGTTAATCAAATACTCGCGGCTAATCTCATAAAATAAACTAAATTAAATCACTTGGCTACACGCTAGGCCTAAAAAAATAAAAAATAAAAAAACTTCTTTGCTTATTTATGGTTCTTAAACCAGTTCTTTGCGCCGTTTCAAACTCCGCCTGC